TTATCTGAATAATATTTTTCATTTGATAAATACACTCGTTCATAGTTCAATTGTAACAAAAACGACATAGTTTGAGAATTATTTAGATAATAGTAGACCCTCCTTCTCATCTAGAGGCTTCACTTCTTTCTTCTTTGTCGACACTTAGCCACATTTAACAAGATTTCCCCGCAATTCCTTCTTCCACACTGGCTCCTCTGCCTTTAGTTATTTTTCCCCTTTTCATGAAAGCAATTGGAACTCTCAACCTATAATTAAGGTTCACAAAGATAATAAGTAAATTGCTCTTAACGATTCAAGTCAACATTTCATTAAGAGACAACATAGCAATAAAAGAGCATGAAAACCTAACAGAGGCAAGTCTTTTCAGTACTAATAAAGAGTTCATACATTACATAAAGAGAAAGAGTTCATAAAGTATTTTAGTAAAACCAAAATATATTATTGCTTATACCTGGAGTTGGAGATAGAGCTGGACGAGGACGACGAAAGCCATGTCCGAGATGTCGACCTCCTTCTATCATAGATTCGTTACCATCAGTATACAATTTCCAGTACCAAGTTAAGCTTGCTCGACAAAACATAGTGTCACAAATTCCGTCTTTGTCTTCCACCGCTAATAACACTTAAAGGCTTTGCTCTCTCAGTCCAACAATCGAGTCGACAAAGTCACTGTCAGACGAAATAATTTTCGTGTTTGATAACAAACCACTTATCAGAATCACTAGCTTTCCTAACAAATGATAGTCTTGGACTATTAACAACTATCAATATTGTGTATTTATCATGCACGAAATCCACAATATCATTGGAGAAATCATCACCCGAGGTTACTATTAAAATAACCGAACAGGGTTCACGATCCATTACGTGAAACCGTATTTTTCTAATTGGCGTCACTGCAATTATGAAGTAATTAAGTGTGGACTGTAGAGTGGAGTGAAGCAATATATATTTTTCTCTCAATTGTGAAAACAACTAAGATGTGTGTTTTTTTCCCGTTTATTAAATCGATATTGGCAACTGTACAAAATTTCTCATCAACATTTTTTTGCAAATTTTATTTGCTATTTTCCCTAATCTTAAGTAA